CCACCATGTTAGATGATTTTAGGTTTCTTGTCAGGAAATGTAGATGAAACTTTGCAATTTAACCTCCAGATTCCTGAAGTCAAGCTTGAAGAGTAAATTTTGAATAATAATAAAAATAAAAGATAATGAAGTCCGAATCCAAAAGCTAGTTCAGATCTTCCCATTATATTTGAGTTAGGTACAGAAATATTCATCTGAATAATAAGCCTTAGTATATGATATTCAGCCTACTGAAAGCATGAAATGACTCATGACACTCATTGAATATTTTTGGAAAGGAATCCCTTGCAAAAAAAATTAGGATTTAGGAAGTCCCGTGTTACTAAAATTCAGTGTTAGACTTATTATTTGATCAATTATATTTTATGACAAATAACATATTTAAGGCTCAATATTGTCATGTACTACCAGAAGTAAAAGTAGTTTTATTTTAATAAGAAAGGTTTTATAATTTCCTCTGAACAGTATAAAACAGTAATCTTGTCAGGTCAGTTCATAATTAGACCTGAATCATGACATTATTGTTATACAAAGAATCATTTCAGATTTATTAAGAGGATTTCATTCAGTATTAATCACAGTTTTTCTCTTTCTTCATCTTTAAATTTTTGGAGACAGTATGTTCAGGCAGATTTGGCTGTAGAGTAAATGGGAAAACAAGAATGCAGTTTGGTGTCTCCTAAAATATCCTATCTGGCTTTTTTTTTTTTTTTTTCTGTGAAACATGGCACAGTCCTAGTGCGTGGAACTGCTGCACATAGGGCATGTCTATTTTGTGCAAGACATGAAACAGCCTGAAATTTCGGCAAAACACAGCAATAGCTTTGAAAAGTGACATGAGGTATTTCACAAATGCAACTAAGATATCTAACAAATGCAAAAAGAAGAATTTTGTTATGTTGTCTGTTCCAGAAAGCGATGTTTTTAGCATATGTTGCTAATAGGAGCCTTAGCTGTGCTTGATCACTTCCCAAATAAGCTGCTTAAACATGAAGCATTAGGCCAGAAAGCTGAGCACTTTCGCAGAGGGTGGGGATTAACAATTCACAGTACTAAATCCTATTTGATCTGCTGAGAAATTCAACCCAGCAAAAACTTGACTTTACTTAAGAGCGTGTCGGGCGAGGGGGTCTCCAGAGGTGGGACGTTTTCCTCCCGGCTGAGCTCGGGCTGCCAGAGCTGGCCCATCGGCCATCATATGGAGCCCTGCCACCCCCTTCCTCACGGTCCTGCTCACTTTCGCTGCGCGCTTGCCTGTGTAGTCATGTCTGAGCTCCTTTTTTTTTTTTTTTTTCTGGCAGCTGCTGTAGGTGAGTTGTGGATGCATTTTTGGAAGTCTCCCGAGGCACAGAGACTGCTTGCCAGGCCCACGAGAAGGTGCCTCATTCTCCAAGTGGGGGCTACCTGGCTGAGATATGTACCATTAATGACTGAAGAGAAGCAGAATTTTCCCCCAGTGTGCTGATGCACGGGGACATTGGCTGCTGCGGCTGTCTCTGAGGGCTGTTTTTGTCAAAGCCAAGAGCACAAGGGAGCCATACTGACAGTGTTTTCCTCTTGTACACGTCCTGCATGTGGCAGATTCACTGTGTGCTTCCTCGCAGTGTGCTAGAGCAGGGTCTTGGAGAAGGGTGGAAAATTTGTCAAAACATTGTCACTTTAACAGAAAGCTGGGTGAGTTCCCTTGCTTTTAATAGAACGTACTTTTCCTTTACTGATGTTAATGCAGAAAGCAGCTGATCATATTCTGTGGGGCTCAGAATATTTTTATAGTACTTTGACTTGGGAATAAACAAGAGCATATTGCATGTCAAGAGTGGTAAGGATTTTACAGAGGAAGACAAACCATGGACTTCCATGGATGCTCTTTGCTTCCTCCAGACCTCTGAAAGAAGTCGAGCGCTATACTGTACCTTCAGAGACATAGTAGCTCCTTAAAAATAGAAAGGATTGCCATTTGTGACTTTAAAATGCATTCAACATGCACTTGCCTGTTTGGGTTGTTAGAGAATTTCATCATACACTTGTGCAACACCTCGTCCTAATCCACAATTGCAGCTCTTTGCCTCTGCTGTAATATAAACAGGGATGATAAATTAATGTCTGGCTTGGCAATATTGCTACAGTCTCCAATTATGAGAAAGTGTTTTCATTTACAGAAGAGAAATCAAATGGCAGATTCCACTGTCTCTTACCCTTCCTGTCTGTGAACAAGCTAGTCCTTGTTGTAAACCCTATGTAACTTGCTGTGGGGGGAGGAGGCATTGTGGAAGCCCCCTGCCCTTAAAATAAAGGTAGAGCTTCGGCAGTTATTTCTTGGGGATCTTTTCTAGTACAGTTAACTATTTCAAAAGGAGAAGGAAAGGGTTTCTTGAAAACCAAACACAAAGCTTTCACAAATAGCAAGAACAGGCAGAGGTGAAATCCACTTCAAACACTGATGCTTCTTCTAAACCTGAAATCGCCAGCATAGAAGTAACAATAGGTTGTTGTTCACCCTCCAAGGTCTGAGACTGCTTCTGCACATGATGCCAAGTGGGCAGCCAGAATCCCTGGATAACCAGCTTCTGCAGCTCTGCTCTCAGAAGGCAAACGCTGCTGCCTCAGGCTAATCAGCTTGAGCTCACATAACACCCTGGCAGAGACCAAGATGACGACGGGCATTGCCCAGAAGGACCTCACCAAGAATAAACATCCATGGAGGCATGGAGCCACTGCTCTCCAGTGCTGCTCTCCAGGGCTCACAGAGTTTTCTGGAGACATGAAAATCCACTGCCAAGTAGCACTCGTGTCCTACTGGAGTGGTAGCACTGGTATGCTCTCTCAGAAAGGACCACATGTTACTTTCAGGGGAAGATTCTAGGCATGTGTTTCTGTCCATGCTACAAAGAGCCATGGAAATCTGAGGCAGACAAGGGTTAGTAATGTGGTTTCCTTGGTTTTCATGTCATACGTATGTTAGGATACAGTCGTGAATGCATACACTAATTTTGTTCAGTGCCCTCACAACTGTAGGCGGAGTGAAGGCAGGGAGCCTTTGCAAGCGGCATTATTTGATATCCACAAGGCTGCGGACAGAGGCAGAGAACTGGGAGAAATGAAGGGGGTCCCCCATCATGTGTAGAAACTGCTGAGTTACAGACAACAGAGTGACAGCCTGGACAGCAGGATGTGTGGAGCGCTTACACACGAGTGGAGGAGTGAAGACAGCACGGGTAGCCATACCTCCTCTTTATATCTCCCAGCTGCTGCTCCTTGGGCAAGCTCAGCTCACAGACCACGAAGTTTGCATGACAGAACAGCAGCTGGGAGATATAAAGGAAGGGATTTGAATGCAGTGTGTATTTTAAAACATGAAAACACCACAACAGAGTCCAACCCCTCCTTGTCCTTTCCCCTGTCCAGACTACCACCTCCAGCACCATTAATCTCAAGGAAAAACTAGACTGGCCTTTGAGCTAGGGCTTTCCTCTCTGATTACAGTGTTTGGACTAAGCAGTGCCTGCTAAGCCCCAGATGCTAGAGCAGTGCATTAGAGGCACTCCCATCCCCAGCTGGAGGATGCTATGTTAAGGGACTGCCACCTGGCAGCATCTTCAAGGAACTGCAAAACGCCAAGCAGAGACGGAGGTTGGTGAGCATCAGCCTGCTGGGACACTTGCAGGTGCACCCGGGAAGGAGAGATCTGGGTTGAGCCAGACCGGTGTTGCTGACTGAACTATCTGCCTTTAGGAGGCTGCTACTGTGATAAAAGACATTAGGCCTGTGAAACATTTGATACGATGATCACCTTATTGGGAATGTTCCCACTCAGTTAAAATGTTGTTTCTCCTTTGAGAAAAATCCCACTGTTTTCCCTCTCTTACTTCAAGTTGGCTAAAGAAGACTGACCCAGTGGTACTCAGCCATTACCCCCTTTTATCTAAGAGCCAAGCTCTGGTTTTGTGAAGATACACCTGGAGGGGCAGGTCCCACCTTGTCCCCACTCTCCTGGGAAAGCAGAGAAGACCAAAGGTAACCACTTTACTGAAGAGTGTGTGGGATGAAAAGAACAATAAAATAACATCCCTTGGCCAAGACCTGGTAACCCAACTTCTTTCCTTTTGAAATCTTCAATGCAGTCCCCTTGACTGTGCTACCCTTCCTTTTTTTTATTGTGTTGTGACAAGCTGACAGACGAAACAATAAGCATGTCCTCAACACATGCCTAGGATTTTCCCCTAAAGAGGTCTCTTAGCCAGCTTGTCTAAAGCCTCCTAAACCAGCCAACTTTGAAAGGGAGCACACTGTAAGCAGTAAGTAATTTCTCTAACATTTCAGAAGATTTCAGCTGTGCTACTCTTCGGAAAGTGTCCTCTGCTGCCCAATATCACACGAAACAAACTTCCAAACTTTTGTTTGTAAACAGAGACTTGCATGAACAAGACAAATTTGAGGCTTAGCTGATCCTGGGAGTCTTTTGTCATTAGTCACTATGCTTAGCAAGTAAAGGGCTCTTGACTAGCCAATGAACTCCAGTTATTGGTATTGATAGTAGTAGGCTTGGGTTAATTTCTATTAATTGACGTACAAATTTGGACACAGGGAAAAGCTCGAGAGAGAGGAAGATGGAGAGAGGAGTCCCTTTACACTTTTGGAGCCAGCACAAACAGTAGGCCAAGGTCCTGAATCACATCACTAGCACACCTTCAGCTGTGACCTCTTAGGACCATTACTAGATGTGACAGCTCAGCTAAGCCTGCTGAGCCAAGAATGCCCTATGTGTGCTCATACGAAGAAGTTTGCGAATGAGTACCAAATTAACATTTTTTTTTCAAGAAAAAATGCACTCTGTCATTTATGCAAGTCACTGGACAGACACTGACCTGGGGCCAAAGTTGGTGACCTATATTTGAAAGCATCCGTGTACCTGCCCTGCAGATTCCCTGTGCTTCCCAAATCTCTCTCATCCCACAAACTCCGTGGCGCTGAATTCAGCAGCGAGGACCACAGTGACTTACCAGTCCGTGTGCGCATCATCGATCACCAGGAGGATCTTGGGTTTCTGGGCCGCCGGTGGCGTGGGGCTGGCCGAGGGATCGATTAGCCCTGCAGCCGCTTGTGTGGTTTGCTTCATGGCGCTGGAGATGGAGCTGAAGATGCTGGTGCCGGTAGAGGAAGAGTGCAAGGGCTGCGGTGGGTGTGGATGCTTTCTCTCCATGGCAGGCGAAACCGGGGAGCTTGTGGAGTTGTCAGGGCGCTGCAAGTCCATCATGTAGCCATTGGGCAGATTTGCCACAAAACTGCTGTCTGAGAGACGCCTCCGGAGGAAATTCATTGCTGCAGTGTTGTGTGGAAACCTTCTCAGCAAGGGCAAGGCTGAACAACAGTGCCACCAGCCCCAGGGAATGTTTCTGTGAGTGTGCAGGGTACTTCTGTGCAGTCCAGGCAGGCTTTCCCCCTTGAAATCCTGCTGGAGAAATATGCCTTAGATTTTCAGCTATATTTTCCTTCTCTCCTGTGGGAAGAGAATCAAAGACATATATGTGAGATACATACTGTGAGTCTGAGATAAGAAAAACTCTCTTGGCCTTCTAAATGGGTACCTTAATCAACAATGAGAGGAGAAAGGACTACTGGTTTCTATGCAGTATGCTACACTGGTACAGCCAAACAGATAGGACAAAGTGTGTTGCATGGCTCACTCTCATCCCAAAATATTCTCCAGTCATGGCAGAGCAGTTTGCAATACCTTAGGGGCTAAAAATTCTATAACTGTTCACTGTGGGGAAAGAAAAATTATTCAGGCCATAAATGTTAATTTTCAAAAGAAAGGCAGCCTATTTCTGATATTTTGTGTGTCAGAAATAATACGTGCTTGTTACAGAATAACCAGCAAATGATCCAACAGGATAAAAAGTTGTATAATTTCTGGCAGGTTTGTAAGCAAGGCTCTGAATTTAAGAAACAAACGTCCTAAATTGAAATGATTTGTAGAAAATAAATAGTGGAAAAATCCCCATACATATCTTGATCAAGTTCAGTGGCAGCTTCAAACTACTTGTCTCTGTCCCTGCTGCTCTCAGCACTCAAAATTAGACTTTGAGCCAGGTGCATGCTGGTGGTTGCTAGACATGGCAGACTAGCTGATTTTACTGGTTCACTTGTAGAATTTTTGCAGATACTCAAAACTAGAAGTTTGGCTGGTTTTTGGTGGTTTCTTTTTCTTTCTTTTTTTCTTTTTTTTTTTTTTTTTTTTTCTGTTGTTGGGTTTTCTGTTTTGTTTTGGTCTAGGAAGAAAGGTCTCTTATTCTGCTCATTTTTTCCAGTGAGAAAATGAACACTCTGAAATATAACTATTTGGCTCCTTTCCCTTGACCACAGCATGATAACTTTGTTTTTACCCAGAACATTAAGTTTTAAAGTGGTTAAATCATATCACAAACTTAGTAGTTATTTTTTTAAAAAATGTTCACCTGTAGGCAGAGGCCAGAAATGAGAGTTCCACAGTAATTCCCCAAGACCTTTTATCTGTCGAGACAGCCCAGACTTTGATCCTTGGCCAGAGGCTGGTTGGTGAGATTTAAGGCGGGGGGGGGGGGGGCACGGGCAGGGAGGGGAGGGAAAGAAACATGTTGCTGGTAAATATTTTTCATGACAGATATATCTGCAGCAACAAAAGTGAGAGTTATCCCATACATCAAATGAGATGAGTCACATGAATTTCTGATATTGTCCTTAAATCATGCCCCAACCCCCTTCAAGTCTTTTTGAATGAGCCCCCTACAAACACTGGAACTCCTTGCCTTGACCTGCCTGGTTTGGCCTCCCTCATCGCTCCCACTCTTGTCCCAGTGTATGATTGCCTCCTGATGGCAGGAAATTGTCTTTTCCCAGTTGGTCCAAGAGAACCCCATGCCTGGGAATCTCCTTCCTGGAGGTGTGGCTGAGAGCTCATGGAGCAATCAAAGAGCTTTCTTAAAATCAGCTGTCGTTTATTGTCACCTATAGAGATTTACAAAACTTTAGAGACAGAGGATTCAGACCTGTCTGTGCCTGTACCTCTCAGCCCCCAGAGCCTTAGGGAGGCTTGGATGAGCCTGGCTGGAGTAAGTGAGCTACAAAGCGCCCCTTGGCACATGTTCCCCAGATCTCGTCATCCGTCACCACGCTGATCCCGTGGGCGCAGGATCTGTCTGGAGCAGAGGGCTCCCTGCTGAAGCTGCTGACATCAGATTATTAGAGCAATTTTTCTTTTGATTTCTCAGCCCTGGCAATACAAGTCCTCTCACTTTGCTGGAGCCTGGAGGTAGCCTTTTCCCAGGGAATAGCTCAGGAAATCTTTAATGACTTCCTGTCACATTTACAGTTGATAATGTATCTTAAGGCATTGTGCTCACTTCCCACCCAGTCCTGGCGTGCCTGGTGACTTCACAGCATCAGCAAATTCATGCACTGTTAAGTGCTTTGGTAGCACAGTCTGTTTATGCAGCAGCTGTTCCAAGAAGCAGGTAACATATATTATCCATGAATTATGAAATTATGAGTCAGCTACTCACATTACATATCTATCTATCTATCTATCTATCTATCTATCTATCTATCTATCTATCTATCTATCTATCTATCTATCTATCTATATCTATATATCTCCACACAGCACTTGGCCTACTCATGTACTACTGTAGCAACTGTGAGTGCCAGCCACTGTTACCTGTGCAGGATGACCAGAGTGTAAAGCCTACAAAGGCTTTGGGGGATTTATATACTACAGGCTCAGTAATAACATGCTGTACTGTCCTGTGCTCGAGAACCTGTGTTTTCTGCCTTGCAGAAGACAAATAAGAAAAATTTCCTCATTTTAATAACAGTCCACTCAAGGGTAGGTCTGGGTCTGGTTAAGGGGAGCATCCCAGAGATCCGTCTACAGTCAGGAGGACTCCAAATGAGTATCCATTACCGAGTACAGCAATTAGGTGTGCTCTCTTGAAGGACCTTGGCATTAACTGGCAGGAGGTGGGATGTAATTTTGATACTGGTCCCAGGAGAAGTGGTTTTAGCATGAGACGCCTGCCCCTTGCATGCTTTGCACATCACAGAGAGCTGCCGGTTCCTGCTGTGGCAGCTCTCAGCCACGGGAGGGAACCTGGCCCCAGCTGTACGGGCTGGACAAGGCTCTTTTCACAAGTCAGGATCCTTGGTACAGGGTCCAGGCAGGACTTACATGCTCTTGAAAGTGTTTCTCCCCCACTGCCAGGCGCTTGCATGGCTGCTTCCCACTCTGCAAGCTTTTCACTCCCCAGAAGAACAAGGGCTCCTTGCAAAGCATCAACAAGTAAAGCAATGGGCAAACGTCTCTGCTCTGCACTGAACTGATGAAGAAGGGCATGGAAACATGTGAAGTAGGGTGTCTGAGGGCTGGGAAGGGCCAGCGTACCCCATGATGCGCCTGGAAGGCGTTCAGGTTTCCTCTGCAACCCGGCTTCCCAAACTGTGCCCTTCAGGGTACTACAGTTTACAATAAATAATTTATCATACCTATTGCAAGGTCATGTCCACTTGCCTCCTGGACACTTTTAAACAGCAATATTTACAGTAATCCATCATTTTTTCCACCAGGGGTTTGGTAGTGGAAGATGTTGCTTAGGGAACGCTGGAAGCTGGCAAAACTCTCTTGTCCAGAGAGTTTGGGACACTGCACTGAGGCTGGCCTTTTCCCTCTGCCGGCTGGCACTGCCTCTGCTTGCTGTGAAGACTGGGCTGCGTGCCGTTGGCTCAGGAGGGAAGGAGAGAAAACCCAAGCAGCTGATGTCACGGGTAAATCTCCCTCCAGCAAAGCACGCAGAGGCTAAATTCAAATAGGATGACACTGCTGCAGCAGAGAGTAACGCCTGGCTCTGCTCTGGGGTAGAGGATGACAAACCTGCCAGGAACTTTGACTTTGAGTCTGCCAAAGCAATGGCACAGACTGTCCTCCTCTCATTACATAAATGTTTCTAGTGAGCTAGGTAGTGTAATTAAAATAGACTTTCTCTCTTTAAAAAAAATGACATTATTGGTGGCTTCAATGCGTCGATTTATTGATTGCCATTAATGCTGCTATGGGAGCAGCAGAAACTGCCACCAGATTCTTTTGCTTACTGGAAAGATCTTCTGCATCATGAACACTTGCTGTTATTTAACTTTCAGCAACAGGTGTTTTTGTACGGGCACAGGCTGAGGAGGGTAGGACCTCATTCTCCTACTGTTTGAAACTCCCTGTGGCCATGCTGAGGGCTCAGCAGGTCGGGCCAAATCTGGCTGTGTGCAGCTCTCACAGCATTAGGCTGTCATGTAGAATGGTGTTCACCCAGTGTACATACAGATCCTACCTTGGCGGGCAAGCAGGGCTGTACCTTCAACAAAGCCAGGAGCCAACACCTCTTTCAGAAGCAAGACAAATCTGCTAAGTGGTTTCTTTTGTCACTCCAGAGCCACAGGTAGGAGAGCTGCTGGCTCTACACCATCAAGTTGTACATCATCTCTGTGCACACCAGGGTCTTCCTATGGCTTACGTGGAGACAAGTGACCTACTTAATGCGGTGCCAGGCACGAACGTGCCCATAGGAAGGCCTGGTGCCCCTTGCACAGCTGAAATACATCCCATGGGCTGCTTCAGGAGAGGCAGCAGCTCTTGTTGAGTTCCTCAAGCTGCAGTACAGGATCTGCCTCCCCACCACTCAGGAATAATCTGCTGCTGTGTGAAGAAAAAGCTGCTCCTGAAAGGTAGCTGGGAAGACAGTGGGCATCTGTGCTGTAGAGCTGCAGGTCAGGGATATTGGGTTACATTTTGGGATGGGGAAATGATAAACAAGGCACAGGAAAATGAGCAAGTGCTGAAGAAAGAGAGCAGGCAGGAGAGAGGGGGAGAGGAGAAGGAGGAGGAGAGGGCACAAGCAGAAAGGGAGGAAGTAAGCGGGAATTGGTTTAACCAAAAGACAACATGGGAACATGCGGAAATCCCAACAATGGGAGCATAGTCAAGGAATCAAAAGGAAATGATGTGAGCAACTAAATGAAGCAAGAGCAAGGTCAATTAGAGTTGACCTTGAAAACAACAGCAAAGAGGCTGGCACTGCCAGCCCCTTACTAACATGCAGTTAAACTTCTTGGCTGATATTTTCGGAAGGGCAAGGGAGGGTAAGCAATCTACTCCCTCTACTCGTTGGCAGCAGCCAGGCACCTACCTGCTTTTTCTCAAGGATATATTCCACAGACATGCAAGTTATCTCAGAAAACCTGTTGACATATGTTAGAAAACAATAACAAAACATTCGCTTAAACCTCTTGCTGGGTTACTTTCTAATGTGCAATAGCATCCAGAGGGAATCAAACTCAATTGGCTGGTATATGTTCACTGTGCTTAGATTTCCTCAAGGCTTGTTATCTATGCTGTCAGGTAATGAACTGAACACGACCATGCCAGCCCGCATCTGATTCCTGCTCTTGACAGCCTCAACAGAACAATGCTGGGGGTGG